TATGGCTTCACTCAAATCTTTATTCCAGCCTAAGCCATTTTCATGGGCTCCAGTTTGTGTAATAGATACTTTTTGCCTCTACTTCTTTGTGAAATATTAGATGGGGCATAAATGAACAGTAAGCTTCTATTCCAAGATAACCTAGGCACTCCATTCACTAATTCAGTCATTCAACAAATATTAACTGAGCACCATCATATGCTAGCACAATTTTAGGTGCCAGGGATATAGCAGTAAATAAAGGAAAAGTCCCTGTCCTTAAGGTTCTTTCATTCCAGTGGAGAGAAAGAGAAAATAAAACATGTATAGCATACATACAGGTAATGTTAAAGGCTAAGGAGATAAGTGAACCAAAGGGATAGGGAGTATTCAGCAGGGAGGAGAATTGTAATTTCAAATTCAGTGGTCAGAGAAGGACTTAAAAAAAAAAAAAGTGACACATGAGTAAAGACTGGAAAGTATGAGCTCTGTGGCTGGGGGAAGAGCCTTGCAGTCAAAAGAAAACAGAAAATTCAAGACCCTCAAGAGGAGGTATGCCTGACTAGTTCAAGGATCAGCAAAGAGACCAATAAGGCTAAAGTGAAGTGAGCAAGAGGAAGAAAGAATAATAAAAGAGGAGGACAGAGAGGTTAAGAGGAGGGGACCATGTAAGTCCTCCATAAGGACTTTGACTTTTACTTCAGGAAGGAGGGTTTTACACAGAGAGATTACCTGATTATTATAAGGATCATTCAAAAGCAGGGCTGAGAACATACAAGGGGACAAGAGCAGAAACGGGAATATCAGTCAGAAGACTACTATAATAATTAGGTGAGAAATCATAGTGGCTAGGATCAGAGTGGCAGTTCTGGAGGTAATGAAGACTGATCAACCTTTGGATATATTTTGCAGAAAAAAGGACAAAATTTGCTAGCAAACTCAATGTGGGGTATAAGAGAAAGAGAGGAGTCAAGAATGAATACAGACTGAAGGATTCTGGGAAGATGGTGGAGTAGAAAACACCAGCAATGTTTCCCCACCTAGACAATAATTGCACTGGTAGAATCTGTCTAATGTAACTATTTTGGAACTCTGAAGGATACTGAAGGCTTGCAACTTCCAGTGGAAGCCTTAGACAGTCGTCATAAATTGTGGTTAAGTTTGGTCAATTTCAGTTCTTAGTACAATATCAGCTACCCATCCCCCACCCACACCCAATGGCAGGAAGCTCTGCATGTGATCCTGGAGCAGTTTGCATGCAGCTTAGAGGAGCCAGGGAAGGCAAAAAGTTCCCTATTTTCCAAATATTGTGGACCTGTGCTCAGATTGCTGATTGTTGCTTCTTACCACAGAGGTACAGACAAAGAGACAGGCAGTCATTGCTGTGAAAGCCCCTCTCCCTCTGGCCAAAGTCACTTCCAGGGAATTTAAAGGGCTAGCACCCTTTCCCTCCCCTTCATTTTTCTCCTTTTTTCCCAGGTCAAGAGCCAAACTTTAAAGACTAGGATACTCAAAACTGCACATACAGA